ATTGGTTTCCATTTTACCGTAGCGGGCGGGATGTGTGAGGCGTGCGTTAAAGCCTGGGCGGGGGTGATCCAAATAACGTTGGTCATCAGATCAAGTTGAAGTCTGTGAGGAAGGATTAGGAGTCATAGATTTTAATGATACGGTAATCTTGGGTACAATTTTATTGGTGCACAATGGTTGTAGTCTCTCAGCAGAGGACTTTTTTTTGGAGACCTAGTATAGTTTTGATTGATCCTTTATAGTGGAGATGAGCAGAAATAATGGTAAAAAAAAGAAAATGAAATAAAAATAAAAATTTGCACCAACTAACAAAAAAATAATGGTTTAAAAAATAGGAAATAAAATAAATTTGGCACCAGCCGGGAATCGAACCCGGTGCTTCTGTGTCCTTGGTTTCAAATGGTTATTGATCATGTCATTATTATTAGACGCTGACGGTGTCGTCTCTGCTTATTGCAACTATACATGCTGTCCCTATTTCTTCCACTAAATCGTCAATGTTTATGTACGTGCCAATTAAGTTCTGATGCGCCAATAACACAGTCATCAACCGTACACTGCAGTGAACACAGAGCACACGCACAATGGCAGTGCGATCTATCTTTCATCATCTCAACATTCTTTGCAACGACACAACCTGGCCTCTTTCAATCTGTAAAAGGTCAATATGTTATATGTGTTTCCACATGCTGCATGATCTGATTTCGTTCTTGGTTCCAAAGTGACTTCGTTCCATTCATGGTTAAAAAATGATTTCATTTCATGGCTCCTAATCGAGGTACTGACTGTTCAAAATGTCATTCATCAGAGGAAGCCAGCAAGTTCGCACCATACTAACACAGAAAACTACTGCTACAATTACAGGGAACACAAATCTCATTTCTCCACTACAACAGCAACATATACACACTCTTGGACCGGGAACACAGCATCATAATGTCCTGATGCAGCTGAAGAGGATGTTCCTGATCCTATATGTCGACGCTGTCCTCCTCTTGTGCGTAAATCCTCTCCGGCAGTCCGTCCTCCAGTGCACGCGTCCGCCTCCGGATCCTCTGCAGCACGCCATCCACGGCGAGGTCGACGGCGTCCTTCACGGCCTCCCTCAGCTCGGGCGTGCTCCCGTGCCGCCGGTACACCACCCTCGGCGCCATCTCCAGCACGCGCCGCCGCATCCTCCGCACCTCTTCCTCCGGCACGGCCTCCAGCGTCTCCACGATTCGGACGCCGCCGAACACCACGGCCTCCTTGGGCATGTGCACCGAGAACTCGTCGTACCGCACCGGGGGCAGGTGCCACCCGTACTGCCTCCGCGCCGCAAGGTCCTCGAAGAACACGGGCACGCAGCCGGCGAGGATGGCGTCGAACGTGGAGCGCCGCGTCGGCGTGTCCCCCGGCGGCTGCAGGCAGAACTTGGACCGCAGCATGGGGCGCATGGACCGGACTGGGTCGTGCGCGCATTTACCGCCGGAGCAGTCGACGACGACACATGCGTCGGTGCGGTTCGCGCACTCGGAGAGGATGGAGCCCCGGATGTTGGGCCGGGACGGGCGGGAGGCGCCGCCCGCGAAGAGCATCAGCGTGGCGCGACGCGAACGGCGCGCGCGGGCGAGCCAGGCGCGGAGGTGGGCGAGAGATGACGGGTGGAAGGACGTCGGGTGCGGGATCGCGTGCTCCTGCCACGGCCACGTGCGGGACTCCAGGGTCAGGAACGTGAAGTTGGCCAGCTCCGGCAGTCGCAGCAGCGACGTTGAGCCCCATAGCCTCGGCTCCACGCTCGGCGACTGCGCGTAGTCCCACGCGGACCCCGCCACCACCAGGAAATGGTCATGCCCGTGCCGGCGAGACAGGATCCGAGCCTGGTCCCGCGACAGGAACTCCGCCAGCGCCACGCCGTGCCGCGCGGATTCGTCGAGCAGGCCCGGATCGAGCACGTAAGGCAGTGCGTCGAGAGCCGCGTAGTAGGGCAGGAACACGGCATCGGCGTCGGCCGGGTCGTCGGCGAGGCAGCCCCGCTCCAGGATGCGGCGGTGGAAGAAGGCCTCCAGGAGCCGCGCGTCGGTGCGGTACCAAGACCGGCTGCGCGGGTGAGTGCGAGGGCCGAGCCCGTGGTTGGCGAGCGACTCGCAGGGCGGGACCGAGGTGGCCGCCGCGGACGGGTCGGCGAGCGGGAAGGCGTCGGCGCCGCAGTGGCGGAGGAGGTCGGCGTTGAAGCGCGGGGGCAGGCCGCGGATGTGGATCCGCCGGCCTGCGCAGAGGTCCGGCCCGTCGGCGTCGGCGGCGCGGGGCACGGCAGCGACGCTGAGGAGGAGGGGGAGGAAGACAAGGAGGGGATTGGCCATTTTGGATTCGGACCGACCGAGGGAGAGGGGAGAGGGTGTCCCGTGTCCGTGTAACTGAATTACTGAGACCGTTTGTGGATCGATGTCGTAGATTTCACCAATGACCATAGCTATTGAAAGGTCAAAGGGCCTTCGAGCCTCAAATCTTAGCCCAAAGTCCATGTGGTTTGCCGTGGACAGCCTTCCTATTCAACACGTTCCTACATGGTACATTCATGTATTCCTCAAAAAAAAAACATACATTCATGTTGATTGCCTTAGGCTCCATTTGACACGGCTTAGCTTGGCTAGAAAAGATGTTTTTTTGAAAACAGCTTCATGATCAACTTTCTAGGCGAAGCTGAACTATTTTAGAAAAATTATTGTACAAAACAGCTTCACCAACCGCTTCATGCATGGGTGAGAGAGATAAATGAGGAAGATAGCTAAGATAAGCTATTTTTTTCAGCTTCATCCCAACTCATATCTTTGTGAGAGGAGAAGAAAAACAACTTCATCCATGAAACTATTTTAGAAATAAGTGTTTGGCAAAAAAAAAAACAGCTCATGAAGTTATTGTGAGCTATGCCAAACATGCCCTTAATGTTAAATATATCTACGGTGGTTGCATCTCATGTTTTTGTTATGAAAAAGTTTTAAAATGCAATTAAACATCGACTGATTAGAATGTCATAGGATTTTTTTTCTAGATTTTTGGGATATATTTCCATTTTCCAAGAGCTAAATCCAATTTTGGAAGCTTCGACAAATATTTTTATGAGTTCTAAATATTTTATTTAGTTTTACGTGTCCCGGTCTATATTTAGAACTTTCCTTGAAATTATTAGAAGATTATAGATATTTTTAATGGTTAAAAACCTTTTCATGTATTTCCTAGATTTTTTTAATTAAAAAGGAGACAGTGAGGTACTTGTAACGATTTTGAGAGTTAATGGAGGAGTTTGTCCTGTTTTGAAGTTTGAGAAAAAAAATATAAACTTGGTGATAGCTCAAGAGACAAAAAAAAAGACTTTTTCTTGTAGAGATCTATCTTCCCTGTTCTAATGTACAAAGAAGAGCCCAGTAGCTTTTTTTAGATCCTTAAAGCTGTCACTCAATTCTATTCCACCGTACCAAGGCAAAGATGGTATGGTAGCCTATGTGTTCAAATTGTTCTAACTTGGAACCATTCAACAAACCAGATGAAGAAGAGAGATAACAAGTTCTTTCTATTGGTGCATCAATAGCCTTTATTTATCTACATGTTACCTGGTAGTGCATAAGAGCAGTTCCAATGCAGAAAGCACATAATAGTTTTTATACACTAAGACTCCTTTGTAGAAACTACATCAATCAATGCAAGATTTCCATGAGTGGGGCCCTTATAAACTGAGAGCAACCCTCTTCACCTTCACCCTCTCCACTAATCTTCTCTCTCCTCTCCGATCCTTTCTATCAAAGCGTGAATTTAGTAGGTAAATAAAAATTCAAATATGATAGAAATCTTTTTAAAAAAATTAGATTTTTAGGGTGTGGTCTATTTAAACAAACTGCACCGAAAACATATTTTCAGGAATGACTCTTTTAAGACAACAATCCTTTTAGTATTTTTTTTTCCAGAAATAGTTATAGTAAACCAGCCATTTCTAAAAATATATTTTCAGGAGTAGTTGCTTAAACCAAGCATCCCTGTAAATGTATTTTCAATTAGTCTTTAGGGCCAATTAGGCCTCGTTTGGCACGGCTCCACTTTACCCATGAAGCTCTTTTTTGGGGCTTCAGCTCCATGAACAACTCTATGGGTGGAGCTGTAGCTGTTTTGATAAATCGTTTGGCAAAACAGCTTTACATATATTTTTTCTTAAAATATGCTCTCAGAGAAGCGCCATGTAGAATGAGGTGAAGCCAAGAGAAGCCACTATTTTTGGCTCATTCCCACCCTAAAGCTCTGTGAGAGCACGTTTTTAGGGGCTTCATCGGTTGAGCTATTTTATTTTATCCCGTTTGACAGAAAACGGCTCCAAGCGGCTCCTGAAGTCGCTAGAGAAGCCCTGCCAAACGGGGCCTTAGTCTTCAGGGACAACCGTTTTAAATAAACAACCACCTCTAAAAATGATTTTTCCAAGGGTAGTCCCTAGAAATACGTTGGTAAGGACGGTTAAAAGTTCGACACTAAAACACCACATCTCTAAGATCAACGGTGTAGTGTCGGTTTTAAAAACCACACCTGAAAACCGCTTTTGACCAACCAACACATCGTTTCCGCAGTAGCACCTACTCAATTGAACCACCAGGGTTCTTAAAGATTAGTATGTCAAGCATGCATTTTATCGTTGGCATGATGCATCAGGCGGGAACGACGACCCACCGAACTCTCAGCAGCCCGCAGGGAGAACGCTAATTCATTCACAGATGAATCATCATCAGCACCAATGATGAGCTTGAGCCAACCAAAAGCTATCACGTACGCATGATCACGAGTAGTCAATTCCTAACTCCACCTTCGCCTCACCATCGCACCCTCTCCCGGCCTACCAAATAATCCAACCACACCGCCACTGAACGATGACCAGCCCTGCTTGTACTCTTGCACAAATCTAAACCCTTAAAGTAGCACATACATCAACCATTGTTAGAAACTGTGTTGGCTTCTGCACATCGTGTGCATTCCAAATCATAATGGCATCCTCCCATGAACCCAACTCCTGCTCAAAGAACCCTACCATGCAACCAAGTTCGTCACCACTGTCTGAGTCTGGATTTTCAGGCACTTCTCCAGTCCGGTCGGCGGCCCGCAGTCCTTCCATACAGTTCGTGTCCAACGTTGTTGTTGGCGACGGCGACGCGGTGGCCGTGTCCCTGAGCGCCTGCCCGTCGACGAGTTCGTCTCGTGGGAGTTCATCGGACATTGAGATCCAGGTGCTCTTCCAGGGGGACGACTACTACGTCTACGACGATGACGACTCCACGACGACGACGACTTCGCCGGCTGTGTGCTCGCGCAGCACGTCTTTCCATGGATGCAGCGACGGTGAGCTGGATATGGAAGCCGGGAGGTCAAGGCTGCTGCGAGCGCAGTCGCTGAGGTCGATGGAGGAGTTCATCCAACGCGACAGCACGGGGGAGCTGAGGTGGAGTGGTTTGGAGGGAGGAGCTCTTCAGTTCGCGTCGAGGTCGCGGAGTAACGCTGGTTAGTTCTTTTGGCCGCAGGACAAGCCCTTTTTTTAACGTTCGTTTTCTGTGGTTTGCTTGCTGATTTGCTTCTCCTGTTTCTTTGGTTTCTTTAGACGTATTTACACATGAAAATAAGAAAATTATTAGCTACTCACTTTCATCCACAGATGCATTGCATTCTACACAAAAGAGTGATGTGTTTGAGCGCGTGACAATGACGAAGCTCACCAATAAGCTATTGAACTAGTTGTGTGGTGCACTCAAGGTTTTAAATAGGGGCTATTGGAAATAGCGGCAACTTTTTTTTCCAGTAGCTACGACATATAGCGTTTTTATAAAAAAAACTTGAAAACACTAGTAATTGATTCAAAAAACATGTCAATATGAAATTCGTTGAACACAAAGTCTAGGTAACATTATCAATATGACATTACAAAATAGTTCATGAAACTCCAGTGTTTAATTGTCCAAAATACCAAATTAGTAGCAAATGATAAGTAGGAAATAACTAATTAAATTGTCACTGATATGGCCTGTTGGCAAAATCTGAAATAGCGTCGCTATATTTGAACGCTAAAGCTATGTAACTTAGCGGCGCTATAGCGTGCAATAGTGGTCAAAATTGACATAGCGGCACAAAAATAAAAATAGCTTAGTGTCAAGTCTCTCCCGCCGCTATAGCTCGCTATTTTTTCCATGGGTGCGCTTAATATTCATGCTGAAGTAAAGAAGCGTGTCAAGGTGGATCTAGCTAATTTGGTAAGGCTGAGTCTAATCATCTAGAGGGTTAATTGAAGAGGTATAGGTGTGGCCCGGTTCACTTCGCTAAAAAAACAAGCCAAAACACTGTTTCGGCTGATTTGTTGTGAGAGAAAAACACTGTTTCGGCTGAAAAAATAAACTAAAAAATACGGATTATAAGAGAAGCGAACAGGGCCGGTATCTCTAACAAATCTCCAATATGATATCTCAAATAGTGGACGTTAATGGGGCTGCCCCAATATCTCTTTACTGATTATTGAGGTGGAGGATATGCTTTAGAAGGGGTTTCAATATTTGGAACTCAATCCGCATGCCTTATGCAATTTGACATTCAATGGAATTCTTCTGTTTATAATTGTTTTTCTTCCCTCTTCTTCAATTTTATCAATTTCTTTCTTTTTTACAGAAACTGTAACTACTACCTCAGTCTCCATTAAAAAAATATAATTCTCATTTTCCAAAGAAAAAAAATTATAAACATTAATTATATCAAATAAGTACTATTAGACTAATTATATAGGGTATTCCGTCCAGACGCCCGCGCCTACCCCACCACCTACGCAGGCTGTGGTGCCTCCCCCGCCTACTGCGCCTGCTTGCCCGCCCCGCCCCGTGCCTAGTACTGCGCCTACCCAACGTCCACGCGCTCGTCGGGCGAGCTCGAACTACCATGGCGAGATGGAAGAAAGGGAAGGGAGGGAGAGGAGAGGAGAGGGCGAGGCGCGCCGCGCGAGAAACACATTAGGTATGAGCCGAAGCCCTACAACAGGCAGCTGTCCGCCGGCCACCGACGCCATTGCAACATATGGAACGTCCGATCTACTTTTGAAACATCCAAATAAAACATTTGCATCATATGTCTAACACAGATGAAACATTTGAAACATGCGATTGAAACATGCATATGTAGCCATTTGCAACATGTGAACACTAAGATCTACTTTTGAAACATTCAGATGAAACGACGCAACATACGTCTAAAACACCTAAAACACTTGAAACATAGTCTTGCAACATGCGTATTTTATCATTGCAACGTATGAAACATCCAGATCTACTTTTGTAACATCTAGATCTTGAAACAAAAGCTGAAACATCTGAAACACTTGAAAACATATGCAACGTTCAGATATATTTTTGCAACATCTAGATAAAATATTTGAAACAAAAGTCGAAACACCTAAAACACAGCGTTCGCCATGCAGCCACGGCCTACCTGGTGGGGAACTGCGGTATAGATCGGCAAGGAGGACTGGGAGCGGATGGAGCCTGCCCTACGCGGAAGCACTGGAGTGGCAACGTCGAGGCCGAGGAGGGCCGCCGCCCAGAGGGGCCTCGCGAGGAGCGCCATCTCCTAGGCCGTCCCTCACTGTACTGTAGTACTAGCAGTAGGATTGCAGCCCGTGGTGGAGAAGATGAATAGAAAGTGGCGGGCTCCAGCGACGAGCTCGGGGCACGGCACTGGGTGGGGCGAAGGAAGCGGCAGGGACGAAGAGGTGCCGGCGCGGGCAGGCGCAAGGCGCTGTGGTGGTGAGGAGGAAGCAGAAAGGACAGAGGAGGCTCCGACAGGAGGTGCGCTCCAGCTGCTACCTAGTTTGCACAGATGAAGACGAAGAGAGAAGAAGGATTAGTGATTCTTTTTTAATATAAATACATTATATACTACTCATACTCTCTAGAGGAGTACTAGCCAAGCGACACGGAGAAAGAGGAGTGGACGCGCCCGAGTCATGGTATTTGTGAATTATATAATATATTTTTATAATAAAACTAATTGGTGACACAAATGTTGATATTTTTTTTTATAAAATTGACTAAATCTAAAAAAATTGATTTATCTAAAACTTATAATTGCATTTTTTAAAGGAGGGAGTAGACAATTCCGCCCTGATGCCTTCTCTCTCTCGCTTGTATCGCTAAGTGCCGCCGTCGCCTGCCATTGCGCCGCCACTCATGGTGTTTCATGTTTGACATTTCGACGCCACTATCCACTTCGCCTTCTCTGCACCCAACCCTCGACTGGTTCGCGGCCGCGGTCCCACACTTTCGACCTTCTCCTCACCGATGTCTCGAGAGCACCGCCGATACACGGACTACCAGCGCCGTTGTTCGCCATGGATAGAGGAGGCGAGGGCGCATGTGTCGGCGCTGGGTGCGCCTAGAGCCTGTAGCCACCGTCGCGAAATCCCCAATCTTGATGTTGCGCGTGACGAAGATTGCCACTACTGTCGCTAGGGTCAAGCACCGAGTCGCTGGCCGCTGCCCCCTCTCCCTATCGTCGCGCCATCCCTCTCCTCGATGTTGACGACGATGAGCGTGACTAGGGACGGGCCTTCGAGGAAGTGGCGGCTACTGCTGGGTCTAGGGAGGGTTGTTGGCATCGAGCTGGGGCGGCGGCCCTCTCTCCGGCAATAGGTAGGTGGAGCAGGGGCGTGGGATGAGAGTGCGCACAAGCGAACTGTGGCAGCTGGCATTGGGAAAATCAGGCAACTCAACTTGATAAATCAAAGGTTGGAGGTGCTAAATGTGGGAGACGATTCAACCCCCGATTTAACAAAATGAAGTGCTAAATAATCTTAGTGGAACTTTTGATTGTACTTTGCTGCGTTTGATTTCCTGCAAAAGTTGGGGGCATTATGCATTGGGATCTTTCATTTCATATCTGATTATTGTTTCTATGATTCCTTATTAGCATATATACATGGAAACACTTAAAGGATCCCAATGCAAAAAACAAATAATTCCAACTTAAACGTGATTGCTGTTATATATAACCTGCCATACAGGTTTTGAAAAATCAACAAGAGAATATTCAATAGTTTGAGGTTCTCAGGAATTACAAAAGCCTGTTTTTATTTGATCTTCAAACAATTTACTTGCTCCTGTAGGTGAGAATGAATCTAGAAATAACAGTTCAACCATATATCCTCCTCTTCCGGTCAATCTAAATATCAACTCCAGTAGATCGATCGGTCGATCTCCTAGTCATGGCATCAGAATAGCAATGGACAGGTATTCTTCCTGAACTGTGATCCCCAACTCTTTACAGTACGCTGATCAACCAGAAATGTTTACACAAGCATATCTTTGCAGCTGCGAGAGAAACTCAATTAGCAGAATCACAGAAAAGGATATTAAGCAGGTAGAAGTCATCTATGATGAAAATTTACTTGTTATTGTTGTGAGCCTAACACGTCTCTTTATGTGCTTGTAATTTACCAGGCAATTATGTTCAGTGCCTCTTTGAACAAGATCACATTAAACCAAGATGAGGCCACTGAATACACAAACTTGATCCTAGAAGAGCTCCAGACAGGCAAAGTTGTCATCCAGGTGATTTCCTAGTAATTTAAAACAAACAGTTCTTCATGCATAACCATGTATATTTATGCTACTATCATCACTATGTCGGTACAGAACCCCATGTTAGTAAACACAATTGATGGCATATACAAAAGTTTGGATCTTGGTAATAGCAGATTTAGACGTGTATCTCCTAGTAATTCAAATCCAATTTACAGATGAATGTCATGAGGAAGGGCCTGTCAAGGGATCTCCAACCAACTTGCTGGGCAATACCAATGCCAATGAAATACAGCCAACAGATACTAACTGCAACCATAGTCTTCTTCCAAGCTCAGTGGAGGCGTATATTTGTGGTTTTCTTGTGGCTCATGGCATGTGCTGCACTCTTCACATGGAAGTTCATGCAGTATAGACAGCGGTTGGCTTTCGAGGTAATAGGGTACTGCCTGTCGACAGCCAAGGGGGCTGCAGAGACGCTCAAGCTCAACATGGCCATTGTGCTCCTACCTGTTTGCCGCAACACAGTCACTTGGCTCAGGAGAAGCCGTGTTATCAACTCGGTCATCCCATTTAATGACAACATTAACTTCCACAAGGTGTGTGTGTGTGTGTGATCCTTTTTCAACTGTGTTGTGTCATGCTTTACTGGTCTGATGGACTGAGTTTAACGCTCATCTTTTAGTTTAGCTTGTTGCGGCGGGAATTGTGGTCGGTATAATCCTTCATGGAGGCATCCACCTGGCATGTGACTTCCCAAGGATTGCAAGGGCAGACAAGACCTTCTTTGGACGTACAATTGCTGCTGACTTTGGGTACCACCAGCCATCCTACCTGGAGTTAGTGGCATCAACCGAGGGACAACTGGTATAGCAATGGTGGTCCTAATGTTGATCGCATTCTTGCTTGCTAGTAGTCCTTGGAGAAGGAATCCAGAAACGCTGCCGCCTCTAGTCAGACAGTTTGCTGGGTTCAATTCTGTTAGCTAATCTATTGCCACCTAGTGTGAACAGCAGAGGAAGACGGCGCTGACTTAGCCGCCTGCTGTGTGTGAACACAGCAAGGGAAGGCGACGCCGACTTTGCCGCCTGCTGTGATACAGTAGCCGCTGCAGGTGCAGGCGCCGCACGGCTCACCTGCAGCACTGTAGGAACAGGCAGTGGCCGGCGCAGAGTCAGCCCTGTCAGGTTATCTAGTTACTGTGCCAGCATGGGCGCTGCACATGGACTAGATAGTTAGAGTTGTATAAATAGACATGTATGGCAACTCAGTAAAGAGAGCTCAGATTTACCATCACACAGACAGGGCCTCGGCCAACGCTGTTGTCTTGTATTGTGCGTGCTTGCTCTGTTCTCCCTTCTTCTCCTTTCTTCTCCCAACTCCGTCCGTAGTGTGTGGGTACGGACAACGCCGGTACGTGGTCTGCACGGCTAGTGAGTGCTCGGCAACACTAGCGCGTGCTCGGCGAGATCGTCAAGCGCTTCTCTCGCCTGAGCCGGTGCACGACAAGATCGGCTAGAATGGTTCACTAACGTGAGCCGGTGATCCTGTGAGACCAAGGGTGGTCTAGAGGCCATCTCGGTGGTCTGGAAGCTATCTGTAGTGGTCTGGAGGCCATCTCAGTGGTATGGAGGCCATCTGTAGTGGTATGGAGGCCATCTCGGTGGTCGAGAGGCTAACTGTGGGCCAACAAGTGGTATCAGAGCCGTACAAGCGCCGTCGTCATTCTAACCGATGGCGATGACACGCGGTTCGGAGTTGGGCGACGGCAGTGGCACTGTCGTGGCTGCCCAGCCACTACCGGATATAGTTGTTCGCACGGTGCGGGAGGTTAGCGGCACCACTTGGCCGACGCTGACTCGCACTAACTATGGAGAGTGGTCGGTGACCATGAAGGTCAAGCTCAGAGCCCGACGGATCTGGAATGCTGTTGACAAGGGCACCGACGTGGAAGAAGACGACATGTCAGCGTTGGAGGCTATCATCGCTGCTGTACCGGCGGAGTATAGGGAACCGTTGGGGACGAAAGGCTCAGCTAAGGAGGCGTGGGAGGCCATTGTGGCGATGCGCGTCGGTTCCGACCGCCCAAAGAAGGCGACGGCCCAGCTACTGAAGCAGGAGTACGCAAAACTCAAGTTCAAGGATGGTAAAATAGTGGAGGACTTTTCCCTCCGCCTGCAGACGCTCATCAACAAGCTGAAGAGCGGCGGCGTCACCATTGACGAAGAGGAGGTGGTCTCCAAGTTCCTCCACTCCGTGCCGGCAAAGTACATCCAGATCGCTCTCTCCATAGAGACGATGCTGGACTTGTCCACCCTCACCATTGAGGATGTGGCAGGCCGTCTGCGGGCGGTGGACGAGCGCCTGGGGCAGGCGACAGCAACGAAGGACAGCGGGAAACTCCTGCTGACGGAAGAGGAGTGGGCTGCTCGGCGAAACTCCGGGAAGGCAGCCTCCTGCAGTCGCGGTGGCAAGGGCAAGCACCGCGGCAGGGCTTCTTCGGAGAAGAAGCACATCGACTCCAACGCCTGTCGGTGTTGCGGGAAGATGGGCCATTGGGCACGGGAGTGCCCAAATCACAAGAAGGAGAAGAAGGCTCAGGCTCACTTGGCGAAAGCCGATGATGAGGATGAGGCCACTATCCTTATGACGACGTTCTGTGCACTGCACGACGTCGAGGCCATGAAGAGGAAAATGCGACGACGGTGGAAGGACCTGGGAAGGCCCTGAAGATCGTCAACCTCGACGAACCACGCGCCCAAGTTCACCTCGGGCATGTGGGCGTCGACCAGGAGCAGCGGTGGTATCTAGACTCTGGTACCAGTAACCACATGACGGGCTCCAAGGACTTCTTCTCCGAGCTTGACGGCGATGTTACCGGTACGGTGAAGTTTGGTGACGGCTCAAGGGTGGCTATCCAAGGGCGAGGCACCATCATCTTCAGATGCCAGAATGGGGAGCACCGCGCGCTAACGGATGTATACTACATCCCACAGCTGCGCTCTAGCATCATCAGCATTGGCCACGGTGGATGAGCCTTGATAGCAGGTTCGATCAGGGACGGTTTCGAGGATCGAGAGACGGGAGCAGCGACTTCTCGCCAAGGTGAAGAGGTCCCTGAACCGGTTGTACCTACTCGACCTGAAGGTAGAGCAGCCAGTTTGCCTGGCGGTAAGGCACTCCGAGGAACCGTGGATGTGGCATGCCCGGTTCGGACATCTCAGCTTTGACGCGCTTGGTTGGCTGGGGAAGATGGTCCGAGGGCTACCCCACATCAAACACGGAGGCGAGCTGTGTGACAATTGCTCCTGCCGAGAAGCAGAGGAGGCTATCTTTCCCAAAGGCGGCCAAGTATCGCGCAAAAGAAGCTCTCAAGCTAGTTCACGGCAACCTCTGCGGGCCGATCACGCCTGCTACATGCGGTGGTCGGTGGTACTTCCTCCTACTCGTGGACGATTGCAGTCGCTACATGTGGCTGCAACTCCTAACGAGCAAGGACGAAGCGGCGGTGGCGATCAAGAAGTTCAAGACGCGCGGAGGCCGAGAGCGGCAAGAAGCTTCAGCGATCGAGGACCTGATCGGGTGGTGAATTCACTTCGGTGGAGTTTGCTACGTCTCGCGCGGATCGGGTGTGGGACAACATCACACCGCTACCGTTTCGCCACAATGAGAATGGCGTGGTGGAGCGACGGAACCAGACGATTGAGTCGGCATGGCTCGATCCATGATTGAGGCCAAAGGGATGCCGGCAAAGTTCTGGGGAGAGGCGGTGACCACGACGGTGTTCATCCTCAACCGCGCTCCAACCAAGGCCCTAACGGGCAAGACGCCGTTCGAAGCTTGGTACGGGAGCAAGCCGAACGTGTCATTCCTCCGGACATTCGGTTGCATCGGCCATGTCAGGAAGACGAAGCCAAACCTCACCAAGCTAGAGGACAGGAGCACACCCATGGTGTTCTTGGGCTACGCGGAGGGTACCAAGGCATATCGGCTCTATGACCCACGCAGAGACAAGGTGACTGTCTCACGCGACATTGTGTTCAACGAGGAGGCGGCTTGGGACTGGGACAGTCCGAGCACGGGGGAAGTAGGAGGCTTCCCCAACACCTTCGTCGTCGAGAACTTGGTCATCCACGGCGGTGGAGACGCTGCGGAACAGGTGCCACGCACTCTGGGAGGAGCGCCGAGCACTCCGGCGGTAGAGTCGAGCACTTCTGGGGCAGTGCCGAGCACTTCAGGAGGGATGCCGAGCACTATGGGAGGAGTGTCGAGCACTTTTGGAGGGATGCCGAGCACATCAGGAGTGGAGCCAGCAGGTTCTGCAGTGGTGGCGACCACTTCAGGACGGGTGCCGAGCACTCCCGTGGCAGAGCCAAGACGTCTTACTGTGGTCCCAACCACTCCAAGACTGAGGCTAGGCACTCCTACAATGTGGCCGAACACTGCAGGAGTTATGACGAGCAGTCCAGAAGCAGTGCCGAGCACTTCGGGTGCTATGCAGGGCACTCCAGCGGAAGAAGGAACTCCATCACCCCCGATCGAGTTCACCTCACCTCCAAGTGACATCACTGAGTTCATGGACGCCTACCACGAAGGTGAGGAGTTGAGGTTCCGCAGGCTGGACGACATCGTCGGTGGCATAGGCCCTCAGATCTGGTGGGTACGCTGCTCAATGACGCAGAGCTGCTACTCATCAGCGCAGAGGAACCACCCACGTTCGCGCTAGCCGAGCGCGATGGAAACTGGCGACGGGCGATGCTGGAGGAGATGAAGGCGATCGATGAAAACGAGACTTGGCAGCTCATCGATCCACCTCCAGGATGCCGTTCGATCAGCCTGAAGTGGGTGTACAAAGTCAAAAGGGACGAGCTCGGCGCCATTGTCAAGCACAAGGCGCGCCTCGTCGCCTGAGGCTTTGTCCAGCGCGAGGGCATCGACTTCGAGGAGGTCTTTGCGCCAGTAGCGCGCATGGAGTCGGTCCATTTGCTACTTGCTTTGGCGGCAGCAAAGGACTGGCGCGTCCATCACTTGGACGTTAAATCGGCCTTCCTCAATGGCGAGCTGGCGGAAACAGTCTTCGTCAGGCAACCTCCAGGGTTCGCTATCAAGGGAGAGGAGCACAGGGTGCTCCAACTGCGCAAAGCGCTCTATGGGCTGCGGCAAGCCCATCGAGCATGGAACGCCAAGCTTGACACCACGTTGGGCGAGCTTGGGTTTCAGAGGTGCGCAACCGAGCACGCGCTCTACACGCGACGACGGGGGAAGGAAGAGCTCGTGGTCGGCGTGTATGTGGATGACTTAATCGTCACCGGTGTTCGCACAGAGGATATCAACAGCTTCAAGCGAGAGATGGCAGCTCGTTTCCGAATGAGCGATCTCGGCGCTCTCTCCTACTACCTCGGCATCGAGGTGAGACAGGGGAAGGAGGAACTCACGCTCAGGCAAAGCGCGTATGCCTCCAAGCTGTTGGAGAGGAGCGGCATGGTGGAGTGTAAGCCATGCGTGACTCCGATGGAGGAGCGGCTGAAGCTGACGAAGGCCAGCACTGCGGCGAAGATGGATGCAACACTCTACCGGAGCATCATCGGCGGTCTGCGCTATCTAGTTCACACGAGGCCGGACATTGCGTTCGCCGTGGGCTACGTCAGTCGCTTCATGGAGGATCCCAGAGAGGATCACTGGGCTGCGGTGAAGCGGCTACTACGCTACGTCAAGGGGACGGTGAATCATGGAATCATCTTCCCAAAGACCGGCGGGAGTAGGCTGCAGCTCACGGTATTCAGCGATGCAGACATGGCGGGGGACATCGACGGACGACGGAGCACCTCTGGCATGCTCGTCTTCCTCGGGTCAGCCCCAATTCCATGGCTGTCGCTGAAATAGAAGATGGTGGCTCTATCTACGTGCGAGGTAGAGTACGTAGCGGCGGCCACAGCGGCGTGCCAAGTTGTGTGGCTACGCCGACTGCTGGGCGAGCTGACCGGCGTGGAAGCTCACCCACCAGCACTGATGGTGGACAACCAGCCCGCCATCGCCCTCGCGAAGAATCCGGTTCTGCACGACCGGAGTAAACACATCGACGTAAAGTTCCACTTTCTTAGAGACTATGTTGATGGAGGGCAAATCATCATCGTGTTCGTCGAAACTGCTCGGCAGCTCGCAGACGTCCTCACCAAGCCACTCGGATGACTTCGACTCACGGAGCTGAAGGAGATGATCGGCATGGAGGGGGTACAAGAGTTAGCAGTAGGATTAGGGGAAAATTGTTAGCTAATCTACTGCCACCTTGTGTGAACACAGCAGAGGAAGGCGGCGCCGACTTAGTCTTCTTTGTGTGTGAACACAACAAGGGAAGGCGGCGCCGACTTTGCCCCTATTTGTGATCTGAAGAGTCTGCAGTGTGTAGCGCCGCGACGGCTCCTGCCCGCAAAGATCAGAGGAATAGGCAAGGTGGCGGCGCAGAGAGTCACCCTGTCAGGTTATCTAGTTATTGTGCTAGCATGTATTTGCACATGGACTAGATAGTTAGAGTTGTATAAATAGACATGTATGGCAACTCAGTAAAGAGAGCTCAGATTTGCCATCACACAGATAGGGCCTCGGCCAACGCTGTTGTCTTGTATTGTGCATGCTTGCTCTGTTCTCCCTTCTCCCAACTCCGTCCGTAGTGTGTGGATACGGACAACGCCGGTACGTGGTCTGCACGGCTAGTGAGTACTCGGCAACACTAGCGCGTGCTCGGCGAGACCGTCAAGCGCTCCTCTCGCCTGAGCCGGTGCACGGCAAGATCGGCTAGAGTGGTTCACTGACGTGAGCCGGTGATCCTGTGAGACCAAGGGTGGTCTGGAGGCCATCTCGGTGGTCTGGAGGCTATCTGTAGTGGTATGGAGGCCATCTCGGTGGTCTGGAGGCTATCTGTAGTGGTCTGAAGGCCATCTCGGTGGTCGGGAGGATAACTGTGGGCCAACAAATTCCTTCTGGTACTCACACCATGTGTTCATCGCTGTCTATGTTCTCCTCATTGTGCATTCCATGTTCCTCTTCCTAGTAAAGGATGTCGCAGAGAAGACGGTAATATAATACTGCTCATTAAATAAATAAAGCAAGTTTAGTATGTTTATGCCCCTCTTATTGCCACAAAATGCCTGTATCAGACATGGATGTATGTCGCAGTTCCTGTGGTGATCTACGTTGGAGAACGAATTTTCAGGATGGTCAGATCTATGGTGTTTGATGTCAAGATCCTCAATGTGTGATAATCTGCAACAAATACTGTATTCTTTTCAATGAAAATATGAGCTGTTATGTCAACTTTCAATCTTAGTTTTGTTTTTTCGTTTTCTGTTCCTTTACAGGCAACAACTTATCCTGGGAAGGTACTTGCACTCAAGGTGACAAATCCTCCAGGTTTTCGATATCGAAGTGGAATGTATGTGTTTGTCCAATGTCCAGAAGTATCAAAGTTTGAATGGTGAGAAGGCCGCTATTAATTATATAGTCAACAACTTCTGTGCTGCACCAATTTTTAGTTAATTTCCTGCTGTCACTTGAATGAAGTGCATCCTTCTTACCTCTACTAATTCTAGATTTACTTTATCCAATTGTCTCAGGCACCCATTTTCCCTTACATCTGCTCCAGATGATGAACACTTGAGCATCCACATAAGATCTCTTGGTGATTGGAGCTACCAAATGTATAATGTCTTCCAACAGGTAAAGCACCAGTTCTTTGTCCACTCTTGAATGAAGCAACTATTTTTTTTCTCAAACACTCTTGAAACAATAATTATTGATCATGCTATTATTTGAAAGTTTACAGTGATACTTAAAAGATATGTTTTGAGGTTTGTAGGCGCCGCTTTCCAGCAACTCCAGCCTGCCCAAAATATTATTTGATGGTCCCTACGGTGCAGCATCACTGGATCACTCCAAATATGAAATTATCTTGTTAATTGGGCTTGGAATAGGAGCAACGCCTTTCATAAGTGTTCTTAAAGACATTGCCAATGGATTAGATAAGGCAATGACTGTACCTTCACGATATGTAATTTCATATATACTTCTATCAGCTGAAAATTTATCATATTTATTATCTGAAACTATCTCAGGGACATGGCAGCCTAAATTATCACTCCGACCGACTGAAGAAGGCCTACTTTTATTGGGTGACAAGAGAGCAGGGATCTTTTGAGTGGTTCAGGGATATCATGAAAGAGGTTTCAGTTCTAGATAGCAAGAAGGTTCACTTTTATAACCACTTCAAATTAAAAAGCGACCATATCTTCTTTAGAAATAGTACTCCATGTGACCACGTCACTACATATGATGTGTTCTTAAGATGTCAATAATGTGCTTGTAGGGTGTGATAGAAATGTATAACTATCTGACAAGTGTCTACCAAGAAGGCAATAAGCGGTCGATGCTAATAAGCGCGATTCAAGCACTTCATTTTGCACGCCATGGCATTGATATCATCTCTAAAACTCCGGTAAGTGTATCTACTTTCCAAGGCAACTACGCATGACACAAGTGTCGTATATGTGCCTAATATCTTTGGTTCTGAACCACATGTTGCTAAATAAGTGTTGGTTGTAGAATATGAAACGTTAAACACAGTTGTTTAATTTGTAGGTTCGTACGCACTTTTCGAGGCCAAACTGGCCTAGAGTGCTCCATGGTCTTGCAAGAAGGCATATCGGGGAGAGGATAGGTAAGAGTACTGTCTTGTTCATGCCTAGAAACTAAGTATTTCCCTGACTAAAAATCAAATGAAAGAACAACTTAGAGATGAGAAAGGCAAATAAAGTGCATTCTTTATCTATTTAGTGATTTTGTTTGGCCGTAACATTTCAAGTATAATCGCTAGTCCGTTACATGTCAATATTCTCATTCATCTTCACGTCCCAAGGAGCTGCAGAAATTTGCTCCTACCCTCTCAGCAATTTTCTTATTCTGTATTAGGCCGGGTAACCTAGCAAAAGAAGCTTATAAGAAGAAACATTTGCTTCTGTGTTCCTCCTAAATTGAGCCTGAATGCATTGACAGGGGTTTTCTACTGTGGTCCGGACGATTTGGGAAGACAGCTGGAGAACCTCTGCCATAAAGTGAACGCGAGAACATTCACGAGATTTGTGTTCCACAAGGAACATTTCTAATAACAGAAACTAGCATATATCAGCTCCTTATGAACGAACCTACTGTGGGACACAATTGATAGTCATTTTAAATTTGTATTTGTATAGGATTGTCAATTGCAAGAACACATCTCAACAGAGAGTGGCACTGACGATTCTGTCTTCAGAAGACCATGTGCCTGCTAGAATACATTTTTGGCAAATGTGGCACTGATGATGAGCCACGACCTGTTATGAAACCAGCAAATTGTCATTTGAAACAAAGTCAAAGATCTGCATGTCCTGGTGATGTACAAGTCATACTTGCCTTAGTGCTCGGAATTAGGTAGGTTTTCCTCCTCTTTTGCTTCCATCCAATCATTTACATGCTAGCTACTCCCAATGATTCAAAAATTATATGTAACAAATTAACTAGATGTCGATGTAAAGATTGGACACACACCACAGGTGCTAGCATGCACCAATTGCTTGATAATCACCTCGCAATAAACTCAGCAAAACCCAGCCAACCCAGTATTTTCAGTTGCTGGGAAACCCGAAGAATGTGTCTTGGGATGGAGCCGTCAGGTAGGACCGGGCAATTCATTTAAACTGAAAGTTCGGTTTAGTTTGATCAGTTTCTAGAAACTTCGGTTTCCAACAATCTGAGCCGATCGGTTTTCAGAACTAGAAACTAACTTATTCGGTTTTTGTTTTATACTACAGTTTTTCGGTTAAAACCAAACCGACCGAAGAATAGACTCAACATTAAACAAACAGGGACGCCGGTGTCGTGCTCGTGCCGGCACGCCAGATGCAGATCTGCCGCTCATCTCTGGCAAGCCGAGCCGCTGGGCGTCGTGCCTCCCACCTACGAGCCGCGCCAACGCCAACGCCTTCTAGTGTCTCCCCTGCGTGCGCCGTTGCTGCCCTCTTGCCACTCCTCACACCCATCGCCGCCCTCCAGCCAGTCCTCCACGTACCCACCGCAGGGACGGGGATGCGTCGACGGGGTGTTGCCGTGTTGGTTCGGTGGTCGCCACATTCCTCGGTCTAAACGATTCCTCGGTTCGGTTTGGGTTAAAACCGAAACTATAGCTGAGAACCGAGGTTTGCAGAATCAGGAACCGAAGCCGAAGCCGAAACCGACAATTCGGCTGAGTTCAGCACGATTCGGTTCAAATTCTTGGTTCTCGGTATAAAAGTGCCCAGCCCTACCGTCAAAAGGCGCACCTAGCTAGGGTTGTTCTAAGGTTGGCAAGCTACCTAAAACACCCTTAAACACTCCCGAGTTGTTTAAAGAACAACAAATATGAAGGTTGAAAAAGGTAGAAATTGAAGATAATAAATGGTAGATTGATTTTGTTTTTGACCGATTGGGTGCCCTAAATCAGTATTGGCCTTTTATATTTATATAATGGTAGGGTTGGTCTTATGTAGTTTGTAGATCAGTTATAGATTGCAACTCAAATCCCTTAGAAATCTTTGGTTCCTACTCAGAACTAGACAAAGGTGCCTTAGCCAACATTACAACCCGACTTAGCCTGATTTCCTAGTGAACCCATAGCGAGTCAATTTTGTTCGCTAGCATATCCTGCCCTGTTTTAAGAGAAGCTTTCTAGCCTAAAAACACCCTAAGACCAAACTGTTCTAAGTACAATACAAATAGATTACATCGTCCGTATACTGTTCTAAAGGCAATATCCACACATATTGGCCATACGTACTTTGCATTAAGCTCCTTGCAACACGCTCTTTAAATACCTTGTAGGACCGAGGTGGCCGACTAAAGGGGTGAATTGTAATTTCTAAAACTTAATTGTAAAGGCTAGCCAATTTAATTGTGGTAGTGAACTAATGATCTACCCATGACTACACCCCTCTAATCGTTTGCTAGCACCCTAACAAAAGAGTAAGCTAGTAACCAACTAGGGTGCTGAGCTAGTGGGAGAGCACACGGAGCTCCTATACACATACTAGTGAGGAAACGGTAAATCTAACTACAAGCTACACTAGTAAGCAACTACACTAGAGCACAAGATTAGTACAAGTGAGAAGCTAGTGTTGAGATATGCAAACCACAGAGTAGAGGATGACACATAATGTTTTCCCGTGGTTCATTGACTTGTCGATCAGTTAATCCACGTTGAGGCAAGTTCTAAAAGTGCCGCTCCTCTCCCTAACTCTAAAGCCCTCAAACTTAGGACTAACCCTCGAGGTATGCTCCAATATGAGCACTAGACTTGAGATGGTCGAATCAACTAGACACTCCAACAAGCCTCAATTTTACTAGTGATGCGTACTCTTCGTCTTTCTCTGACAGGGAGAGCTCAAGAGCCCCGAACAATGCCTTCTTAGGGTCTTTACATTAGTGGAAAAGATTTTACAAGAATTTCTTGAAATCTTCATTTGCTTCAGCCACTAGATGATAGTCATCCCACTCATCACGAAAACTCTCAGGACGAGCTGTCTTGTTCTTTAAATTAATAGTGAACATCTGCTTCCTCCATTCTTCGATTGGTGGATATTGCTCAGCAAGCCAATCATCATACTCAAACTGCATATATAAAACATGTGTATGACCGAAAATTCAAATGTACTATGAAATGTCAATATAACTCAGGATAGTAATCAAGTCACGGAGCTTAATAACCAAGTATTCGTAGACATCTACCTGACACTTTGATAAGTTATGTGTGTATCTCTTAGGCCATCCACATGCTTGTAGTTTTGAATAAAAAGCTTTCACATCTTCCATCATTTCGTCTTTAGATGGAAGCTTGATCCATCCAGATAGAACTCCAGCAACCCACTTACTTTGGAGTTCAACTAGTGGAAAAGGAATAGCCTGGTTGGAACAAAGTAAGGTTTCAGATCTTAGAGAGCACCACAAAGCCTGTGCGTGTGCATGGATGTGTAACTGATGGGGAATGACGACATTTTGCAGAAAAAATGACCTTCAACGGCAATCCGATGAAGGACAGTTGAGGAGCCACTTCCGGTGGGAAAACATGCTTGTATAGTGGATTGACACGGTTGTCATCCACGGTGATAGTGCTGTCATCTCCAAGGAAAGGGAAATCATACAGGTAGCTAGGCAACACATAAATGCAAGAAGCACATTATCAGATTCAGCCAAATTAGCACAACACTATTCATTAACAAAATGCTCCCACACAGACTCCGAATTTGAAAGACATAATCTTATATCGTTATGAATCTTGATTTTGATTTTCAAATCTTGATATTATTAGTTGCTATAGATTTTTTTTTATCTTGGGTTAAGTTGGAACTCTTGTACTTATTGCATCTTTATTAACTCTCCTTTTGTATCTCTATACTCTTATAAAGCTAAATCCCACTAGATGATTTTTCTCTTTATGCAAGGTGTCCACATCATTCCCCACTAAGTGACCGCACTAGATATTCTAGCTTTTCATGCAAGGTGTCCGCATCATTTCCCACGAAGTCCATGTCATCCCTTATTAGTTACAAAACATGTCCACGTCATCTTTACCATGTGCGATACTTTAAATCTTTAATATATTAATATACAAATCACCTATATACGCTATTTGTTTCATTACCTATTCCTCTATAATGTAATCAAATATTTTATTAGTTTTTATTCTATTAGCTTACCGATTTTTTACCAGATCTGATACAATAAAATAACATGCAAGTCAAATTCATGTGTATACACAATATATAGAATACCATATAGTAATGCTATGTATATAACAAATTTATATTTAAGAAAAACCCGCGGCAACGCGGGAGGGGCATCCTTCTAGTTTTGTTAAAACTAAGTAACTTTAGGTCACAAACTGCACTCTTAAGTACAACGATAACATAAATGGTCATTTAAACCGACATCACATCGTTCAAGATCAATGGTAAAGCTTCAAGTGAGATCTAAGATGGGTATCAGTGCTAACCTTAAGAGCATATTAATACATTTGTGCCTTATGATCACTACCTACTCCAAAGAAATATTAAGAACCAGGAAAGGATAGCAGCCTTTGGTCTCCACTAACCTTCCTCAATTTCTTAAGATCTCAAGATGTTTGCATTTCCTTATCAAAGAATCATATATGTATTAATATTTCTTTATTCTAAAATATGAAGTTTTAGAATTATACTATCAATATAGATATGTCAAATGTTTTGGTTAAAATAAAATTTATCTAAAATAAAAAATCTATATAAATTATGTGTCATGAATACTAATATAGATTTAGATAGTTTGTTGTAGAGTCATTAAGGAATAATTTTCATGATTGATGAAACATCTAGAATTGACGTGGAGGCTAAATTGGAGACCTCTAGTTAGAATCTCCAAGGTCTCTTATTTTTATTTCTAGTGCGATATGTATTTAGTTGAAACCTAGTTGCATAATAAGCTACTGTTGTATCCTTTTATGTGTCATCAACTCATCATGAATCTATATAGTGGCTTTCAACTTTTGATCTTATTAGTTATTATCACAAGTTTTCAACCATGTGTTAATCAATTGTTCATGGAGTACTAATATAACAAAATAAATTACCAGCCTCATTGATATGTGGTTTGTCAAGGAAACATTTTCCACGCTTGAGTTTGATAGCTATTAAAATTTAACATTTGACATCATGCATGAATGCATATGTACTTGGTCTACATGGTGGCATATAGTATTATATGCTTTCTTTTAACACATGGTCTACATGGTGTATTCATGTTGCAAGTTGCAAGTGTTCGATCTGGATGTTGCATATGTTTCACACACATGTTGCAAGTGATGTTCCAAATATTTCATTTGCTTCAGAGGTATGTTGCATTCAAGTGTTTTATGTTGCAAGTGTCTCATGTTTTAGAGGTATGTTCAGAGAGTCATGAGGGCACGGCCCGGGCAAGGGGGAAGGGGCGCGGCGAGCCGAGGGCCGGCAGATGGGGCATGCGAAGCGTTTGGGGTCCTGCGGACGAGGTGTGCTCGTCCTCATCCTGGCTCATGGGTCCCGCCCGCGCGGAGAGAGAGGAGGCTGTCAGGGGGAAGGAGCGGCGGGCGCGGGGCGAGGCAGACGGGGGCGTGGTTCGCATGCGGGGCGGGACGAGGCGGACGGGGACAGACGTGCACGTGCAACAACGAATGGTGCAATGGCAGGTGTGGGCAGGCGGGCTGGCAACCGAAGCTGGGGTCGCGCGATGGCATTTTCTGATGTGTCGTTCTGCTTGGCCGTTCGGTGAGAGTGTGTCCAGGTTACTATCCGACGGGGTCCTATCCCATCGGACGTCCGTGCGCCAGCAATTCCCTAAATATTAAGATGACATGCATGCTTTTGTAGTAAATAGGATTCTAGGGATACTAATCACTATACCCAATGCAGTGCATGATGACATCAGCTCTGATTGAGTTGCCATCCTGGAACACCACATTTCCATCCTCCAGTGCGTGGTCAATCTGCAGCCCGAGCATTAGTTTTGCAACAATGCTAGCTATGGTAGCTCCTCGATAGATATAAGCTACTCAGTCTATTACAAATTATAAGATATTTTAGCTAGAAAAAAGAAATCATTTATAATTCATAATATAATGGAGGGAGTACCGTAGATATCTTGACTCGCTAGGAGAAAAGGTCGTTTACCATGGAATGAAACCACAGATTATCGTACCCAGGCTGCTTCTCACATGTGGGAGCTGGTGCCGATCTATCGGCGACATGGACCTCTTTCGCTACGCATGCGATGTCTCTTGAAATGTCAAATGCACTTGCTGAGGCCCCGACTATGATCACTACCTTCCATTGCAGCACACATTCTTCGTGTTAACCATATGGGAATGCATATATATAACGGCACCATAGATCACCGAGAGGAGAAGCACACACTTGATTGAGGAATGGCTCCGGCACACGGTAATTGTGGCTATGCATCTGCTTACCTGGCCAAGCATCTACCCCTGCCGAAGTTCGAAAGCGCTAGTGTAAGAACGAATTGATTGAAGGAAATAGAAACAAGACAACGGTGAACTTATTACACATTTCTCTGTCGCTTTCATGGATGATCCAAACACTGATTAAATACAGGAAGCCATGGAGTTAACGGTAATGCTTGGTTGAGGGCATACGAACGAACAGAGCGAGCAACCCCGCGCGCGTAACGCCTAAGAAAAATAAAGAGGGCGACATCAGGCGGGCCTGCACCCATCCTTTCTGCGGGGCAACGCATGGGAGCGTGTGCGGCCACTCTCATTCGGGGTGCATGCAACGCGTGGGGAACCATGCATGTGCGTGACCACGGAGAGAGGCTCCTTGTTGTGTCCACTGCTGGCTGGACCAGCCGGCCAGGCCCTAGCTGCACGCGCCCAAGGCCGCAGGTGATGTGACCACGCCAACATCGGGGACCTCGGCGATCACTCCGAACACCTCGGCGACCACCTCGGCGAACTCTCCGACCACCTCGGCGACCTCTCCGACCACTTCACTGACCTCTCCGACCACCTCGGCGAGCTCTCCGACCATCTCGGCGACCTCTCCGACCACTTCACCAACCTCGGTGACCTTTCCAACCACCTCACCGGCTGATACACCACTCCAAGTCCCTACTGGACCAATCACTCGTAGCTGCTCCAAAAAGATACAACAAGAGGTGCACGCGCTACTTTGTGAATTTCAATTAAACATAGATGGTAATTTCGAGCTACCTAAGTCGTGCATGTTGTTATTACTCAGGTTCTCTCGAGAAGGAAGACAAGGATACATCAAGGATGGATCAGAGAGAAGAGCTACGTTCGAGTCAATCCAGCGTGGCATCCGACCAGTTTTAGCGAAGACTGCTTCGAAGCTCAACAATCTGCATGAAGCTAAAGACCCCGTGCAAAACTAAAGGAGTTATGACCAAAATAATGAAGACTGCACAGAAGCCCAGAAGACGCGCGGGAACTGAAGGCCACCTCATAAAAGCTCTAGCCAGTTGACCTTCCACCTCCCCAACATGGTTTCTTCAGTTCACATCTATCTTAGAGACTTCTCGTAGTATAAATACCACCTCTAGGCTACTAGAAAAAGATTTTTTGATAATTTGATAATTCCAGTGATATTGCAGCCGAGCTGCCGAGTGCTTACTCAAACCCTTGTTCTTCCTTGTTCTTCCTGGACTTGTGAAGAGATTCCTCTGGAATCCCCTAGTTCGTGCTTTGCGGGTTCCAGTACGGCTGCCCTGGCCTGTGTGGATTAGCTCCGGTTGTGGTTCTACGGTCGTTCGGAAATCGAGTCGAAGTCTTCTCGGTTTCGGTGCCTCTCTCCCCGTCGCCTGGTTGCATCCAACCTTGATAGGTATAAAGCTAGTTATCCTCCGCTGTTCGCAGCAAGTTATTTTGTGATTTCCAACCTACTGTCGTGAAGATCGGGCCAACTCCCGTACTGAAATAGCTTCAGTACTTATCATGTGGTATCAGAGCTTCGGATTGACATGGTAGGCCTTGCCGTCATCCACATCATTATCCTTGTTTAATCTACCTCATATATTTGTGTTTTTTCATATCCTAGAGTCCAAGACCACACAAAAAAATACCTATAACCATTTCGCGGTACTGTTACGTTGTGTTTTGTGTTCATCGAGTTGTTAGACCTCACCGTTTATATATAATTTGAGTTGTTTCATTCGTTACTGCTGTCAGTGATAAAAAAATATAGATAAAAAAAGGAAAGATTAGTTTTTTAAAAAAAAGAGAGAAGTGAAAAGAAGTTGAAGGATCTGTGTTGCGGTGTATTGCTGAAAATTTCAGTTTACATATTTAAGTTGGTGGTGATCTTGTTAGCAGCAACATCGTATCTTTGAGCACATCAAACCACTCGATTGGCAGTACCGTAGCCCTTCTTGATAGCCACCTATAGCTCCACCAAAAAAAAACCTAAACTGGGACGTTCGATTCATAGTCCTTACGACCTCTCTACCACCTCCGTTGAAGCTGCCACACCAGCACTATCACGGCCCTTGAGATCAGGAAAGAACTTGGGTAAGTAAAAGGTGAGATCGAGTGTTTTCACAAATTTACCTATTCCACTTTTTCTTGCATCTAGTCTAACATGGCAGGATCCAATTCGAGTATTCATGGTGGAAACCATGGAGATGGGGAGCCCCCTGTCACACGGGCTGAGGTGCACCACATGGCAAACTCGCTGGTGGAGGCGATGGAGAGGGTGCTTGACGCTCGTCTTCCCGCGGAGGGAGGCCGAGGACCACATCGTTGTCATGAAGAAAATCACCGGGAGGAGTCTGGTGATGAGAATTCTGGTTTTGGCCATGGATTTGATCGCTTCGGCGATGGCCATGGAGGACATAGTGGTGGTCGCCATGCTGGTTTTGATAATCAGCGTGGAGGCCATTGTGCACATGGACGTCGTGTACGATTTGAAGATGAAGATGAGGTTCATGATAAGTATGAGGCGGGATTTGATGATAATGAAAATCCTTTTGGCCACCATGGGCGTTTTGGACAGCCACATGAACATCGTCGTGGTGCTGGTCCTGATGGGGAAAATCAGCGTGGTCATCGCAATAGAGATGATCCGGATAGCATTGCTCGTGTAAAGTTGAGCATTCCAAAATTTTCAGGGAAAGAAAATGCTGATGCTTATCTTGAATGGGAGGAGCAATGTGATCAGATTTTTAGAGTGCATAATCTTTCTGATCAGAGGCGTGTCAACCCTTGCTTCTGTTGAGTTTTCAGGTTACGCTCTCACATGGTGGAACCAAGTTCAAGAAAATCAACGTGTGTTGGGACGTGATCATATGAACACATGGGCTGAGATGAAGAGAGTGATGAGAAGACGCTTTGTGCCATCAAGTTATCAGCGTGACCTCCGCAATAGGTTACAAACATTGAGACAAGGATCAAAATCTGTTGATGACTACTTCAAGGAGATGGAGTTACTCTTGGTGAGATCTGGAATTAGAGAAGATGAAGAGTCAAAAATGGCAAGATTTTTGAATGGTCTCAATGAAGAAATTTTAGGTTTTGTTGAGATGTTTCCATATCATAATTTGCAAGACCTTGTTGATCAAGCTATGCGCACCGAGAGAAAAATTCACCAAGAGGGGCGAAGAAGGTCTTATGGGAGCCAATCAATTTCAGCTCCATGGCATCGACAGCAGCCTGACATCTCTGTTGGTGGGGGAAGATCACAAGGAGTTGCTACTAGGCCTTCTCCATCCATTGTTGCTGCAAAGACCATGGTTTCTACTGCTTCTTCACCTGCAGTTCAGCAAGAACAGCGACATCCTGTTGCAAGCACAGCAACCCCTTCTGTTGCATCAGCTGTTGCCTCTTCTTCCCATACCCGAGGCATTATTTGTCACAAGTGCCAAGGTCGAGGACATATTGCTGCTCAATGTCCTAGTCGAAGGACCATGATTATAAATGAACAAGGTAAATGAGAATCTGAAAGCGAACCTGAGGAAGAAGCTCCAATATATGATGAAGAACTTATGCAAGATAAAGGTGATTAAATTCAACCTGATGATGGAGACAACAATTGCTTTATTTCTCGCTGAGTGCTTAGTGTTACTGCTGTCCGAGAAGAGAATAATCAGCGACACAATCTTTTTCACACCCGAGGCATGATCAAGGACAAGTTGTGTCAAATCATTGTTGACAATGGCAGCTGCAATAATATTGCAAGTCAAGAATTAGTTGAAAGAATGGTACTGAAACAGCAGCGCCATCCTTCTCCATACAAGATGCAATGGTTAAATGATTGTGGTGCGCTACGTGTAACAAATATTGTGACCGTTCCCTTCTCCATCGGGCGGTACAATGATCAAGTGGAGTGTGATGTGGTTCCAATGGAAGCATGCCAATTGCTGTTAGGAAGACCTTGGTTGTATGACCGAGATGCTCAGATTTGCGGTCGCGCCAACAAGATTGTTCTCATGTACAAAGGAGAGCGCATCACTTTGCTTCCCTTGTCACCGGAGGAGATTGTGAGAGATGATTTGAAAAGAAAACTGCGAGAGAGCGAAAACCACCTACGAGTGACCCACAAAAATAGTGAGGGAGAGATTCCAAAGCCAAATAAAACTCCACAGCCTCAAAGAACCAAGACACCGGGAAAAAGGGTTTAGTTATGATGGCTAGGAAAGGGGATTTAAAAGAATTGAGTGAACCCAATGCTGTGTTCTATGTACTCCTGTACAAGGATAGTTTTCTTGTCACTAACGACTTACCCTCTACTTTGCCAAGTGTTATCTTTGATGTGTTATAGGAATATGAGGATGTCTTTCCAGATGAAGTGCCACAAGGACTACCACCTAAGAGAGGAATCGAACATCAAATTGATCTTGTGACCGGTGCTTTACTCCCAAGCCATGCTGCCTACCGCGCCAACCCGGAAGCAACCAAGGAGATTCAGCGACAAGTGAAAGAATTGATGAGAAAAGGGTACGTAAAAGAAAGTCTGTCACCTTGTGCTATTCCTATCCTTTTAGTGCCTAAGAAAGATGGGTCTTGGCGGATGTGGGGGTATGGCCCCCAAGACATAGGCCGCACCATCGGAGGTGGCCCGGCCCACAAGATCAAGTCGTGCACGGTGCTGCTCGATGTGCACCGCAAGACATTGTATAGTACCAAATAGGATACTTTACTTGTAACCCTGCCCCTCTAGAGTATATAAGGAGAGGCAGGGGTCCTCTACTCGACATCATGTATTCAATACAATACACTAAAGACACAAGACGTAGGGTATTACGTCGATCAGACGGCCCGAACCTGTCTAAATCGTTGTCTCTATGCCTTGGGTCACCATCTGGTTCCTGATTATGCGCATCCCCACCGACAAATCTACCATCGTGGGATACCCCTCGGTGGACTGCCGAGCATCTTTTGTCGGCAGTTGGCGTGCCAGGTAGGGGTGTGCGCTTGATCCATGGTGAGCCAGATGGATCTCAAATCAACAACGC